AGTTAAAAATCTGATATGGCTAATGATCATCTACTGTGTAATCAGGGTAATAGACAAAGAACAATATGGCAAATGTTACACTTTGACAACCCTTTCAGTGGGCCTAGCATAGATATAAATACTATCTGAAAGAAAAGAAATTCCATTATTGGATTGTCCAAGGGATGCATAGCCAAGTGGATGGAAAATATATCGGATTTCCTGGCAGTTGTGGGTTCAGTAAGGAATTATATGTGTGTGTGTGTATATGTGTGTATATATATATATACACACACATACACAGAAATGTCACATCTATGCAAACAAATTGTGTCAAATATGAATTTGATAGATAATTCAATAAAAGCATTTCAAAGTACATTTCTTGTAAAATCATTTAGGATTTTCAGTATTTAATGAAGAATTGAAGAATTTATAATTTAATTTTTAGAATTTACATTTGTAGATTTTGCTTGGCTTTTGAAGACTTTCCATTTCCATAACTGGAAATCATTTTGAATACAAAGAATAAAAGATCCAACAATTTGTACATTAAGAAGTCACAGAATTGTACAATTTAACTTTTGGTTTGGTTTATGATGAGCTAATCCAAATAACTTTTCTCTAAATTCATTGATTTAACTCTGAATTGTAACAGAATATCAGAAATTATACAATGTGAGGTGCAGCCAAAGGAACTACAGTTTGGAAGTTTGGCCATGAAAATCTGAACAAAGTAGACTAAATGTAACAAACATTGGGTTCTCCAGTCATCATGGTTCTCAGTGTTCAGGAACTGAAAAGTTTATCCCTGGTTTTATGTTCAAGGAAAGAAAATATCATGCAATAAAAATTCTTGAGATTCTGAAGAGGGAAAATACTTTAAATTCATTAACATTGAACACACTGAAAACGACCCCCGTAAATCTTGGTTCTCAAAGTATCACTGTTGGTGTGACTTCCCATCTTATTTGGGATGATGTCTTCATATATTATGGTATAGTATACATGCAGCAGTTTAAGGAAAGGTTGAACATCAAGAGCCAATATTTACCGGTCGGGTTGAATGCAATATTAATATCTTCTTTTATGTGCCATGTCCCTTCAGGATACAAGTGATCATGGCCCTCTACTCGTCACTTGTAGCTCTTAATAAGCTTTGTCTTTTTATTTCTTCCTGACCCTGTTCTGCCATACCATCTAGTATGTCACACATTGTTTTCCCCTGTCCCTTCATCCATCCTGTGATTATCAGATTTTCTAAGCACTCCTTCCTCATTACGTGTCCCAGAACTTTCAGCTGCCTCTTCCTGATGTTAAGTATAAGTTTCCTGTTTCCATTCTAAAACCTTGTCATTGCTCACATGTCTGACCCATGGTATCCTTAGCATCCTTCTGTAGAACCACATTTCTTGCTTCAAGTCTCTTCATCTTTGAAGAGATTGTCCAACATTGTATGCCATACAGAAGGGCAAATATTGCATAACAGTTCAGTAGTTTTTAAAAAAAATAATTTTTCCTGTCTTTCATAGTGTTATACAGCGTGTCCATAAAGTCCGTGTGCACTTTAAAAACTGTATAACTTTATTTGTATTTGCAATAGAAATAATCTGTAAAAAATGTCAAAGTTTAATGTACATAGTTTTAAGTATAGCTAAAATAACTAATGTGATTTCAGGCATTACTGTAAATCAGTTGGCAAATGTTTTCCGTGAACTGTAAAATCGTATTACCCTTTGTATTGATAATGATGGAGGACAATTGGAAACGTAAATAAAATTTCAATAAAACTTTAAACAAATATAGATTTACTTCTTTCTAATCCTTTTTATAAATTATTTCTATTGCAAATACAAATAAAGTTATAATTTTTTTAAAGTGCACACGAACTTTATGGACACCATGTGTCTAAAGCACAAGAAACTTTGAGAGATTGCATCTAAAATAAGTATTAAAAAAAATGAAATCAAAAAGGCAAGACTTAATCTTTTGAATGACATCTGATGGGTTAAAAATCAATAAATAGACAAGTGTACAATTAACATATCAGTTGCTTACTACTAGAATAACTGCTTTTTTTTATCCTTACTGGATGCTCTTTTACTGCTGCCTTGTGTCTGACTAGGTAATGTCTACAAAATATCTAAAGTACATGTAGCATGCTGGTTAGCAAGTTTGTCTCACAGTGTAGAGGCAGATTCTTGTGATTGTTCCACTTTTTATGGCCTTGTGCCTGACTAAGTTCAGGATAAACAGAGTTATGATCGAGAAGAAAGAAAACACGGAATATATATTTTCCTAATTTAAAAAAATTTTCAAATTAGGAATTTAAAGTTTATTTCTCAGAAAACAAAAAAATGACAAATTGAAAAATTTTATCCGTTTCTTAATGAATGATTTTAATTAAGCGAATAAAATAAAAAAGTTCATTTATTTTTCAAAAAAACTTAAGCATCCAACATTTGGGGTAGGGATATGAAATGCCTTGACTTTGAAACAAGATTGTTTTTCATACATTCTTGGATTAACTCTGCTCTCTAAGAGAAACAACTTTGGATAAAACAATTGACATGGGAATTTATTGATAAGAAAATACAATAAGAATAGAAAAATCTGGAATAATTTTCAAATGAGTTTTTTTTTTAAGGCAAAAAGCTGTTTCAAAAATGTTTTTGTCAGAAGGCAGTCATTTTGAAAATTGCAATTGGATTCTTGGGAATTAAAAACTTTGATTAAATTTGAAAACTTTGACATTAAAATTTTTACTTCCGCACAAATTTTCTTAAATGTTTGACAAATTTAATGGAATCCAAGGAAGTATATATAAAAAAAAAAAAAAAAATCATTTATGACAAAGAAAAAAAATGTATGCATATTTTTAATAAAAGACATTTTCAATTTATGAAAGACTAAAAAATATTTGCTGCTGTGGTTAGAAGCGAATGGATATGTAATTTGCAAATAGAAAAAGAAAAGGTTTGGGTTCTGTTCCAGAAAAAACATTCTATATAATTTTGCAGTTTACAGAATTTCTTGGAGGAAAATTTAAAATCTGAAACAAGAGTGGAAATTTTGTCAGTATAAAGACATACAAAATCACTTTTACAAAAAGGCACAACTGAAAAAAAAATTCTCTCTCTTTTTATATATATATATATATATAAAAACAATTATATACACATGAAAACAGTCTGATTTTTTTTTTTTTATATTTTTACCAATATTTTTGTAAAATATATGCAAATTTGTATTTGGATTTCATGCTGGAGAAATTGTATGAAAACAGATTCCAAGATGGGAGGCAAAAAAGAAAAAAGTCCACATCACTTAAAGCCTTCCTAGTAGACTTCCTCAGATCTATGAAATCTTCAAATAAGAAATTCTTAAGAGCCTCAATCAAGGCACATTTAACAATTTTCTTGTTTCATGAACTGTTTATGTAACCAAATCGACCATTTTGTTTGTTAACATGATTGTAGGAAACGATGCGCATATTGGCCGAGATATTATATAAATTTAGGAGAGGAATAAGAAAATCTTTGCAAATAATCTCTATGTAGGTGTAAAAAAAAAAAATAAAAAATTAACAAACAAGGTTTTTGATTGAAATATTAACAGAATCCAATTCTTACACATTAAATCAAAAATTTATTTACTTGTAAGACTTTCTTATTTTTATCTTTGAGGTTTGTAATTTTACTTCTGTGGAATTTATAGAATTGCAGAGAATTCACTGAATGAAGCAGCAGACTGAAAATATTACGTCTTTGCTTTTGATGATTTCTTCTTCCCTGCCTGTTTGCCTGCCAGCTTGCATTTTTGTGTGTGCATTTTAAGACATGCATAATCCATCCAAACAAGATGTGAATTTAGAATCAACAAATGAATGAAGCCATTTTCTAGCAGAGATTAAAGAAAATAGATTAGCCAAAAAGTAAAAGGAGAGAAAAAGTTTAAGAAGAATTTTTATTCTAGATTAATATCCCTATCTTCATTATCGAAAAAATTTTTTTTGTTGCCAATATATATTTGTTAGCCTTCACCTGTGTGTAAGGAACATTTAGTGAGGCAGGCTGAAGAAAATATTGGGGAAAAATATTTTCAGAATAAAGATAGAGATACTTGTCAAAAAGAAAAAAAAAGTAAAATGTGTAATAATAATAATAATAAAAATAAATGAAAATTTTTAAAACAGAAAAAACAAAGACATTTTTAAGGTTCTAGAAAACCATTTTCTAGGAAAATAGGAATTACCGAAAATTCATTTGAAAGCAGATTATTTTGAGAAGCCTGTCTGTCAATTATGTGTTAGGTGAATTAGACAACGAAAAACAAAACAGAATGGTTGTATTCATAGAAATCATGACTTAAGATGCAAAATTGGATCAAGAAAGAAACAAACAAAAAAACTAAAAGTTTTTTGTGAATTTTCACTCAGGAAAAAAAATAAGAAATCAAAAATCAATATCCCCCCCCCCACAGCTCTTGTCAAAAATCAGTTCACATGAGATTAGATTTACTTCTTTCATGGGGTATCAAAATGCCATATACATATATTGTTTAAAAAAAAACTTACCGAGATGAAATAATTTCTGATTTTCCAGATAAAGATATTTTTGAATTTAGATTAAAGAAAATAAAATGCTTTGGCAGGAGAAAAATGCACTTTAAGTAAATGTACAGACATATCTATAATCACGTTTCCGTGATGGACAGGGTTGTCTGATTTACAAAAACCAGATATTATTCATTTTTGTATTTCCCCACAATCAAATCTTTTATAGTCATCAGTTCATCAAAGGTTGAACTTGGAATTTCTTTGCACACAGACATACACACACATATATATATATATATATATATATATATATTAGACACACGCACATATATATATATACAGAATGCCACTTCAATTTTTAGGCTTAAGTGTTTTCCACTTCATGCACAGGAATCCTGTTTTATGCAACTTGGGAATAATCCACACTTTTTCATCAGTGTCTCAGCAGACGGGGTTTGTCTTTCTACAGAGGGGCACTCTTCTCTTCCTCTTCATTTGGGGGACGTTGTATAAATCTATACAGACACATAGATAAAACAAGGCCAGCAATCTGAAAATAATAAAGATCAAAATAGTTGACAAACAAATGGCTTTTGGGCAAGGGAGACAACAACGAGAAGAAGTAGTAGAAACAAAATGAAACAAGGAGGAAAAGGAAAAAAAGAACAATGGTGAATAATTTGTCGACACTTACAGCTAGAAAAATGTGTTTCATTGAATATGACAGACAAGGAATATTTTGAAAGAACTTGAGAGAAAAGAAAAGAGGAAAAGAAAAAAAAAAACTCAAAAAATCCTTATAAAAAAAAAAAATGAGAAGGAATATTTTGTAAGATTATTTCTTATTAAATAAACGTTAGTTTTAGGTACACACGTTTCAATTGCAATCCATGATTTTTATTCTATTAAACAGTGGAATCAATAACAACCAACTTAATGTGAGCTCAGTTTATGTTTAACCCTAGACACTAACCATTGGTATATAGTACCCAGCACAAATTTTCCTATTTTTAATTACAATTTTCAGTACCTAATTTTCTTACCTAAATAATGTTTTTCAGTTCCTATTAATGTTAACTCAAAGTACAAAGTTTGAAGTGCCTGCATGTAAAATATTTCAAATAAAGATTTATATTTAATATTTTTTTTTTGATATTTTCAAAATTGGGTATGATATACCCATGGGTAGTAGTGGTGTAACTTTAATTGATGGTTAGTATACTAGGGTTAATAAAAAATAAACAGAAATAGCAACTCAATATATGTACCCATGACAAATATAATGTTTTATACTTTATAGTAAGGTGTGTGTTTTATTGAATAAAAAATAAGGAATAAAAATTTTTTATATATATATATATATATATATATATATATATATATATATATATATTATATTATATTATATATATATATATATATATATATATATATATATATATATATTCAAGTTAATGAAAAATGAAATAAAAATAACCATGGTTTTTTTATTTATTTTGTTATGATCAAATCGATTTTGATAAAACAAAATAAATATAAACCAATTTTTTAAAAATTCATTATAAATTTTTCATTATGATAATTATTATTTGCTCTAAATTTTGACATTGATTTATCTGGATTTATAGGATTTTTTGGAATTATCCATATGGATTATATATATATATATAATATATATATATATATATATATATATATATATATATATATATATATATATGTGTGTGTGTGTGTGTGTGTATCGCTTTAAACATTATTATTAGTGGATACTTTATTTGAGTAGGTGTTTGATCTTATATATTAAACAGTCTGTTTATTTAGTCCTACTGGCCTGAATTTTTGAGAAATCCTATTATTAAAGAAAAATTTTGGCTCTCCAGCAGGAATTGAACTTGCATCCTTCTGGTTACATTTGGATATGAAACTACATGCAGATATGAAAAAGCTTCAAGAGATCAAAACTAGGAGAAATTTTGCTTGAAAAACATTAAATTTGCTTTGCCTGACTGTTCATGGTTAAGAGTCAAGGTACACTGGGTTAAATAGTGGCTCCCTCTTCCCAGAGGGATATAGGTTCAATTCCTGCTGAAGAGGACAAATTTTTCCTTAATAAGATTTTTTGAACATTCAAGACAGTAGATGAAAATAAATACATATACTGTTTAATTTATAAATGGAGAACTTATTCAAATACAAGTATCCACTAAAAATAACATTTAAGGTAAAAAAAAAAAAATGTTGGATTAATAAAATTCCATTCTAATATATTTCCAAATATTTCTTATAAATAGAACCAATAAAGGTCTGTTTAATTTTCATTATTGTATGGTACTATTGTGCATTCAATATAAACCTTTAATGCTGTTCTTTGTTATTAATATTGGGCATGAGAATTCATAAAGAAAATTATTTTTACACAGTGAATTATGTTTTTAATTAATTTTTCATCCTGTTATTAATTAGGATGCATCTGGTTATGATAAAATAAGTTAATGGTGTATTTATTTTTGTTGGTATCAGAGTAGTGTCTTCGTTAAGGATAATTTTACTCGTTCATCAATGATCTGGCCAGGGAAGTTATTGTTGATTAGAGTTTGTTTAATGTTGTTTAGTTGCATATTGAAAATATGTTTAAAGAAGTATTTACTTTGACCCAATCAGGCTTTGTACAACAGCTATTTTGTATCTGTGAGGACATTTGCTTTTTGTTATAGCACACAACTAGTGATCATAATATTATGTCTTGCATAGTATTTAAAATATTTTTAAATAAACGTTTTGTTTAATAAAAAACCATCACATAAATATAAACATCTTCAATTAAAAATGAAATCTAAATATTTAAACATAATATTTATTTAGACATAAATATAAATATATTCAATTAAGAATAAAGTTTTTGTTTAAAATAATTTTTTTAAAATAAAACTAAGTATTTACTTTGACCCAGTAAATCATGCTCTCTATAACAGCTATTTTGTATATGTGAAGTCATTTACTTTTCATTATAATTCACAATTCGTGGTTATAATGTCTTGCATAGGCTACTTGCCGTGATGGCATTAATTCTTTCCCCTTGACTGATTCCAACAGACTTCTCCTGAATTCTTTATTTAAGGTGTCTTGCCTAGTTCATTTGTGTTACTGGCAATGTCTTATTTACTTGGCAAAACTTATAGACATATCTTCAACAAATCTTGTTTGAATATGCAGACAGGGAAAAGAAACACAAGTTAATGGCATTTTGTATTCACTATGCACAGCTCTGAATTCTGTGTTTACATGCAAATATTATACATGCTTATACACACATTACAAATGGAGAGAGGTTCGATTTTTGAGTCAATGTAAGTTTGATTGACTGATTTGTTTTCTTTGCAGGTTATTTAAAGCCAGAAAATATTTTTAGATTGTAAGAATTTTTTTTTTTAGAGATAATAATTTTTTTAGTGATACAAAAATCTTACTAATTAACCCATAAAAATTCATTCTTCTTTTTCAACTTGCATGTAACAAACACAACTGGAATTGGAACTCAGCTCTCTGATTAACAATTCTGAGCCATTATCCATTACCCCACCTGCACATCCTAGTTTATGGCACCTGTTATTCTCAAGCAGTCACCCATCTAGGTACTGACCTGGTGAGACGTTGCTTAACTTTGGTGATCAAATGGGAAACAATGTTTTAATGTGATGTGGTCATAAGCCTAATGTAACTTTGAAAAATTTTTTTTCTTTTTCATTCAATTGTTTTTATGGAAGACATTCATTTTCTGTTGGAGTAAAAAAAAAAATAAAGATAAAAACTTACCAAAATAACTGAGAATGAGAAACCAATTGCCAAAAGGAGTCCTGCTTGGTCCATCACAAATTTATAGCCAGCATCGTAACAACCCTTCAAGGAGGAGGAGGAGGAGGAGGGGAACAAAGAAAAAAAGAGAGAAAAAGAAAATTTAATGTCTTTTCTTTATAAAATTGGAAGGGATATTATTTAAATTTATAAATCATTTAATACTGAAATTTTGTATTTGATGAGAGATTTCTCAATGCTTAAGTTACTTTGCCAAGAATCATAAGATTGGTAGTTAGTACCTTTGGATAAAGTTAAATTTGGGGGGACCAAACTTTAAATAAAACCATCTGATCTGGGAAAGAACGTGTTATCTATCTGTGCAATTGCAAATTAGATTATATTGTACAATCACAGCCGTAAGAAATTTAAAATAGGCTGACATAAAAAAAATTAACATCTTTTTAGACATTATTTAAATGTCTCATATGAAGTCCATGTTATCTGTAAATAAATTCAATTTACTATCTAATTCCAGATAAGCAAGTAGCAGTTTTGTGAAAGAGTCACGAAGATAAGTTTAAACATTTCATCTTATTTGTCTGCCCACCCCTATTTGAGTATGCTGGTTTGTTAGGGTGGTTAGCCAATCCCTGTTGCAGGTGCCTGCTCTGGCACATTTCCATTTGTTCAACACCCAAAGAACCCACCTGTAGTTCATACTCCAACTATACTGAACAAACCTCAGTTAGTTTCTGGGAGAGAATTGTTAAAATTTTATACTCAGCTATTTGAAAACACCAATACATTCAACCCTTTCATCATGATGACCTGTGACTTTGCGGTAACATGCATCCAATGACAGCTTCCAAATAGTTACAGCTATTTAATTTAACTCACAAGGTTTAGGTTAATCCGTACAATGATTTTATGTCCTTTCTAAACAGTGCGGCACACACTGGGATTACCAGCAATAGACTGATAACTTAAGTCACCTACTTGACAAAGCAATCATGGTAAGATTTGAACCTGGGTCTGATGATCAGAAATTTTATATATATATATATATATATATATATATATATATATATATATATATATATATATATAAATATATATATATAAATAAAATACGATAGGAAAACTTTTATTCAAATCATTTCATCAAAATATGGACATTTTCAAGCCAAAAACGAAATGAATTTATTAAACAAATAACTAATAATAACAAAACAAAATGTTATAGCAACTGGTTTAAATTTAGATTTTTAATCTATTTTCATATTGTTAACTGAAAATTACATCAGGTTTGGAAAATTTTCAGTTGACAATATAATACTTTTTTAAATTCTTCCAGTTATAAAGGACATTTTGTTTTGTTAAAAATTAACTTTATTTTATTTTATATATATTCATTTTATATATGAAAATTTGAATATTGGATAAAAAATTTCTTTTAATCTTTACAGTTTTCCTATTGTATTTTACATTTATAAAATTGTTTTTAAGAAAATATAAATAAAAGAAATTTTTTATATATATATATATATATATATATATATATATATATATATATATATATATATATATATATATATATATATATAAATTTATATATATACAAACTATATATATTTCACCTAAACGGATCAAATTAAATTATGACGATCCACTTAGGTGAAACTTGGGTAGGTTTGTCTGGCTCACTAGGTTTATCTAGGTCTGCTCTACGGTTGTATTGAGCTCTTTTGTTAGTTACTTGTTTACTCGTATCGAGGTTTTTTCTTTGGGCTTCAAACCTGTATCTGTGCAATTTTTTTCGACAGACTTTCATGTTTCTAGCTCTTTCTTTTTGAAAAACCTTTCCCCCCCCCTCGAGATTGATTTTATTATTGGCAAATCAAAAATCCAAGGGTTTTTCGAAACAAGTATAGTTATATATATATATATATATATATATATATATATATATATATAAATATATAAATGGATATAGATATGACAGAATGAAGAAAAATTTGGAAAAAAAAACAAGAAAAAATCCTTAAATGCAATTATGTTGTTTAAAATGAATGAAATGTCGACGTCTGACGTTTCGGTTTAATAAACCTTCTTCAGGACAATATTCATTAAATACAATTCAGTTCAATTTGAAAAAAGAACGATGGACATAAAAACAAGTCTTAAAAAACAGAACTGAAAATTTTTAAAATGATCAGCTTTCCGTTTAGCATGGTCATAAATTGTTTCACATGGGCGGTGAATACTAGACCTGGTTTGTAGATTTTTAGTATTTCCCTTTTTTAACGAGATTAATGCTTGACAAGCATACATAAAAATTTTAGATCCTAATAGAATTCTTTTCATTAAATATTTTCATTCAATATAATCAAAAAATTTTTTTTTAGGAATATTTTTGAAAGCGTCGCCCATGTGACGACAACGTGACCATGCTAAACGGAAAGCTGATCATTTTAAAAATTTTCAGTTATCTGTTTTGGATAAGACTTGTTTTTTTATGTCCATCGTCTTTGTCAAATTGAACTGAATTGTATTTTAATGAATATTGTCCTGAAGAAGGTTTATTAAACCGAAACGTCAGACGTCGACATTTCATTCATTTTAAACAACATAATTGCATTTAAGGATTTTTGTTTGTTTTTTCCAAATTTTTCTTCATATATATATATATATATATATATATATATATATATATATACGCACACACATACATACACAGCTAAAAGTCCATGGGTAAATAAACCAAGTGAATCCTAATAAAAATATTAAAACTGATCCACAAAGAGAGCTCAATATATATATATATTATAGAGCAAATATAGATGATTTACTTTTTCTATTCTTGTTCTATTTTTGATTTTATTTTCTCGCTTCTTTAAAGTTATTAAATCTACAATCTTCCTTTTGTTTTTTTTTTTTATCTTGAAAACTTTTTTGTACTGAAAAGCCTCAGCAAGGAATTTTTTCCTTAAGAGGAATTGGGTTATTGTGTTTCATTAAATGGAAATTATTTATATATATATATATATATATATATATATATGAATATATATGTGAAAATAAGTGAACAGTATTTTTCAGTGCAACAATTCATAATCTGATCATTTGTCACATAGGTTTACAAAAATGAACAATGAACATTTTGAACAAAAATAGAAAAGACCCCCCCCCTTACATGTCCTCCATTCAAGAACGTTGACAAAATTCATGCATTTTAAGGAGTCTGAAACAATCTAAAGGATTTTTATAGCAAAGTTTCTAAAAATGTTTTTTCCTGATTGCAATATGTCATTTTTAAGTGTTTCTTCAATAAACTAATCATAAAATATCTATGTCCAAAATTTAAATGTTGAAAAGCACTTGTAATGCTAATTTGATAAAATATAAATTTAAAACTCTAATATTGTTAAATTGTCAGAAAGTGTGTCAGTATCCAGTTAGCTTCTGTGTCCAGTGAGAAAAGTGAATTACTTTCCTTACATAATGTCCGAGTAAAGTAGCTATTCTTTGGAGAAGCACAAACCAAAATAAGATAGAAATGCAGGGACAAAGGAATATTTGATAGTTTTCAATAATAAAGTCCACTTTAGTAGAATTAGTAGAGCCTAATTGTAAAGGAACTGGTAATGTTTCTTAACTTACTTGATAAAAAAGGTAATCATTTTTGGCACCTGAAGGAGTTCCAGGTGGTCCCATCCTTGACTTTTGGCACTGTTTCAACCTCTGGATTCTGTTCACATGTACATTTTTGCAACAAGATTCCGGAACAAATGGTTTATCATCTCCTGCAAGAAATAAAATTTTATTAAAAGTGTCCAGGAAGATAAAAAATTGGGTTGATTGTTAGTTTAGCTACTTTCAGTTTTTTCATTCAAATAAAGAGAGACTTGGTAAAAACGAGGATTTCAAATATCGATTTTCACAGCAATCAAGATGGAAGACAGCCATGATGTATTTGGCTCTTTGGTAAACTAAACTGACAAATGAATTGAATGACTGTAAAATTTTTTCAAGTCAACAGTCGGCCATCTTGATCCATAATGATGTCTTCTATGAAAACATGGATATTTATGGCCAGAGACAACAAGGATTTCATTTTCCTTTATCTAAACAGGAATTTGAAAATTTTCTTAAAAAAAAAAAAAAAAAAAAAATTGTCACTCTCACCTTTTTGATTTCGATACCACAAAGATTCTTGATAAATCTCCCAGCCTTCATTTTCTACTCCGCAACAATGAAGCTGTAAGAAAAAAAAAAAAACAAAAAAAAAACACAGAAATAAATAATTCTTTACTTTGAAAGTAAATTGAACAATGCTAAGATATGAGATTTTCAGCCATCCAGAGACATTTCTTCAAAATTACTGAAGGCTGGTGAGGTAATTGAATGACAAAAACGGGAAAAAAATTTTGTGTTTTGTTTGCTTTGAAAAGATTTCTTCAGCAACAAATACTGGTTACAATTCTACATCAAGAAACAGAAGATGCAGAGATGCTTAGATTTAGATTTAAACTTTTGGTATATCTAGATGCCGAACAAAGCTTACCTCATTCAGCTTTTTAACAGTTTTATTTGTAAATATCCCACATCATTTTCTATTTCATTCCCTCATCATATATATATATATATATATATATATATAAAATAATTATTGGATTTGCTCTGCTTAGCATATTGAGCACTTTAGTTATTTTTATTTTACTCATGTCGGACGTTTTTTTCCTTTGGACTGAGCTTGGATTCTGGTCAATTATTTCTGCCAAAATTACATGTTCCTAGTTCTTTCTTTTTTTATTCCATTTTTTTCCTTGGGTATTGGTTTGTTCATTTACAAGCCAATACACCTAAGGTTTTTCCAGATGAGTATACTTACTTATATTTATAAGATTATTATATATATATATATATATATATATATATAAATGACAATAGGAAAACTGTAGTAGTTGCCGACGTGTTTTGTCCAATGTGGACTTTCTCAAGGTAAAAAACAAAATGAATTTATTTAAACAAAGTAACTAATAGTAACAAAAACAAAATGTCCTTAGCAACTGGAAGAATTTAGAGAAGGATATTTTCATACTGTTAACTGAAAATTACGTCAATTACTGTCACATGTGGAGATATTGTTATTATTGCTGTGTTGATGGATTCAACCATTTTCTTTTGATTTTACGATATTGTTGTGTACGTTTGTTTGGGAGAGTAGTAATTCTGTTAAGAAAGGTGAAATAGGGAAAAAGCCTGGGCGTAGATTAATATTTGGGTAATATTCAATGATAGCGCTCTCTAGGATAGGAAAATCCTAGAGAGTGCTGTCATTGAATTCTGAGTGAACTATTTTCGTTTTTAAAATCAAATTAAAAGAGTCACAAACACTTCCAAAACCATTATGGATATACTCAGATCTTCAAACACTAATAGCAATAATATTTCTGAAGCAGGCATTTATAAAATAAATTGCCAAAACTGTTCCTCCCAATATATTGGAGAAACAAGTAGAAATTTAAAAAACTGCATTTATGAGCACAAAAGAGACCTCTCAAAAAAACAACTTAGCTAATGCACTAGTCATACATAGAAATAAATTCAACCACAATTTTGATTTTAAAAATGCTACACTCATAAAAAAAGAAAGAAATATAAAGGGGAGGCAGGCTGTCCCCCTTAAGGTAAGGCTTCAAGAACATCAGAAAGCTGTAACACAGTGGGGAAGTGGAAAAATCAGGCATGACTATCTTTTTATTACAAAGCTACTGGCAGTTATGAGAAGCAAACTTAGAAGCTATATAGTACCTCCTTCTGTCAGCAAATAAAGATTTAGCCTCTTTGAGGAGATGTTACCTATTATTATGAGTGGGCATGAAAAGCGATCCATTTTATTGTATTTATTTATTATATATTATTTGGCCATTAGACAAATTAGAAGCATCATGAGAAAGATGTTGAAAATCAGAATTTTCAAACATGCCTGGACTCTTTTTTTGGCGGGGTGCATATGTGTGAACTTCATTTCTCTGATGAGATTTTTGTATTCATTCAGGTGTTTCAATATATGTGGGAGTAATTTATTTTACCGATTAAATCTAATAATTTTTCAGCTAGTTGTCTGCTATGATTAGCATTGTAGAGAATCCATACAATGGCATTTTGTGAAACCTGTATTCATTTAGCATGTCTAAGTTTCTTTTCAAATCTAGAATGTCAGAATTTATTTTAGAAATCAATTTTAACTTTGATCTTTGGAGATTATATATATGAAAACATACCTTTTGCTGCGTTTCATCCCAAGATTTGGTTATAGCTTGATTTTCTTCATTGTGCTGAATGTTGACACCATATTGTTTTTGGATTGTTTCTCCCATTGCTTTTGACATTACATCTTGCAACTGAAAGACAATTTGAACAAAAGATTAACTTAGCAGATTCAGACATTCTTTTATACTTCTTGTGTCTCTGCAGAAAGTCGGGAATTGGATTTTTCAGATTTTTTACAAATTCTAGAAGAACATGCATCAATTTTTTTTTAATGTTATTGTTCACTCAACACAAGACCCAAGAGCCACTCAAGGTAGAGGATTACTAAATGAAGTTGTTGTAAAGGCATACAAGGAGGGAGTAGGAGTATGAGGATATATAAGATAGATAACAATTGAACTTTGACATGAAGAGATTAAGATCAGGGAAACATCCTATTGGATTACACAATGAAATACTTCTATGGAACAAGCTGTAGCAGACCGTTGGGTGATGAGTATGTAAAAGACACATTAGGTAAAAAACAAATAGCCAGTCCAACTACACGAGAAAGTTGGACTTTACTTTCCAAAAGAAACTAAACAAGACTGATATATATATATATATATATATATATATATATATAAACAAATAAATATATTATTAACATTAATAATAAAGTACAAGTTACAAGCACATGGACAGTTACAAGCATAATTGCGTGTGGTGAATAAACATAGAGCCCATGCGTTGTGGTGAGTGTCAACGTAACAACTATTTGTATTGTTCTTAGCGTGTTCGTAATAAGAATTTGGGAAACGCTGTATCTCAAAGCTCACATCTGGAGGTGGTATAAGGCCCAAGGCCTGAAAAAAAAAGAGACCAAGGCGAAAGGTCAGCCAGTATTTATAGCCAGGGAAGAGAGACCCCTGGTGAAGGGTTAAGGAGCTGAGGCGGAGCTAACTCCAACAAAGCTGTCTAAGTGGAACTACCCCCTTACCAAAATGGAAAATGAAGAGAATGAAGATCAACCTACTTGGTGTGTGTAGCATGGTGGGTCCTAGCTATGATGGTCTGAACTAGTAGAACCAAGGAAAGTAGTTTGCATGAATATCTACCATGAAAATAGTAGGAATGTAGCAAGAGGCTAAGAACATTTAGTTGTGGGGAAGGCGGTTGTAGAGTGGAAAATAATTGTTCCTTACTCACAAGGCTGTAGAAACAATTAAAATCTGTAAAAGCTGCAAAGTCTGGATTGGCCTGCTCCAGCTCAGTTAGAGGAACAATACACTATACTTTCTGGAATGGTAAAAGGTACCAACCATTCTCCCAGAATCTTTAATGGTTAGATATATAAGTTCCACTTGAGGTGTAGAGTGAGCTTGAGTCTCATTCTTGACAAGGATCCTCACTGAGAATGCAACCGAACCATTCATGGTGACTGGAGAAAAGTCAGGGTCTGTACAGTGATGATGAAATGTTACCAGCTTGCTTAGGGAGCTATTGAATGTTATAAACATGTTTAACCGCTGTTGAGCCGTGCAAGCTCAGGGGAGAAATCAGCTGTCAGTCTAAAGTCATCTATGTGTTTGGCGGTGCACCCATAAATAAACCATGGTATCATCTGCATATGTATTTATGAATGATCTGCCTAAGAATATTTTCAGATCATATAATCCGAGAACGTTCTGAGGCAGATCGTTAATAAAAAGCAGAAAATGTGTAGGGTTGAAGAAAAGAGCCTTAGGTGACACCTGCATTGATTTGATTGGCTTCACTGATCTGGCCATTAACAATGACCTTCATATTTTTTACTAAATAAAGTTAAGTCTGATACAATGCTAAGAAAACACCAAGTTAGGCTATGCATGACATTTGTGCATAGTCAGCAAAGGGACTTGCTTGCCAATCATCATTATGGAAGGTTTAAGGGGGAGAAAAACACCATTAAAGTTACACTTGGAAATACATTGATTTACTTACAGTTTCTTCATTCTCTCTAAGAGTTATTTTCCTTCAGATTGCAGGGTGTCATGGCTCTTTGAAGCTTCCTTTTCTTTAATATATAAACTATGAAGTGTCATGATTATTCCAAGGAAAGATAGTGGAAGGGTTTCAACTTTTCATGTTGCCATTCCTAGTTTTTAAATCAGGGTTGTTTTCTAGACTGGTTGCCAACCAAGGCTAGAGGTTCCAGTCTGCTCTGCAATTTAAAATCATAGCATGGGGGATAGAAGAGATCATTTCATGTTTTTCCAAAGAGCATTAGGGAGATGCGAATCATATCTGGTCTAGTGCATGGAGTGATGTATATATATATATATTTATATATATATATATATATATATATATATATATATATATATTGAAATTCTTGACAAAAAATTCAACATTAGACCCTTTGAATTTTGCCAAGAATCTCAAGATATATAGTAGGAGTACCAGACCAAATATGGCAACAGTTTTCAACACACAGATGAATGGTAGATTTATAAATGTGCAAGATGGATTCTTATGAGAAAAATTATATGAGATGACACAGTGAACCAACTTTTCTACAAGTACACCTAGCAATTGTCGCAATATAATCACCCCACTTCATTGCTCTGCTGACGTTTAGCATCAGCCTTGCTCATAGGTTCTGTCCATGGTATCCTCCATCTTCTATAGAGCCCTAATTCTGTTACCTGAAGTTTCTTCATCTGTGAGAACACTGTCCAGCATTCACTAATTACTATTGACAATATTATTCGATAGATTAATTTATTTGGCAACATATCAACTCCTTATGGGTCACTTTATATCAAAATTTAATTTTCTTGAGAGCATTAGTAATTTCTTTTACAAAAATGTATTTTGCTGTAATATTTTTTTTTAATTTTCTTTTACAAAATGTATTGCTGGTATTTTTTTTTCTTCAGAATTTTTTCTCTCTTTTTCATGTGTTGTGAGGAAAATAATAGGCATTGTTTCATGTAGGAAGTGAGATGGAGACAGAAAGAATGGATGTCAACAGGTCAGCCAGTTACTCATCTTCTTGACATGGTGGATTGTTCCCTTGCTGAAACCAAGCCACCCAAATGAATCTGAAATGAAGGCTTGGACAAGCATCAGTGGTCTTCACTTCTCTGCAAGTAAACAACTGGTTTATGTTTCTTTCTGTCATATAAAGACTTAGACAATGACAATCCATCACTGTCATGATTACACCCACCCTCCCACTTACTTTGGGGTCGTCAGAGTTCTGGCAAGTAGAGTGTGGAATTACAATCACCATTTTGCCATTTCATGGTAATTGTTCTGATGAGCTTTTCTCTATGGTATCTAGACTATGAATTAAGTGCAGTACTAGATTGGCAGCTAGGTCTCATCACTTTATAGTTAAACTGTAAGTTCTATGCTAACAGTTTCTTCTCTCACACTTCTCACTTGTGTAACTCTTCCAGCTTCCCAGTCAACTATTAACTTTTGATAAAACATTTTTGTCAATCAGCCAAAAATGTTTTAAGTAAGAAATTTAATACCTCAAAAACAAAACTGCTCTCTATTACTCACCACAGAGAACCAACCCTTCCCCCACATAAAAATGTCTGACATTCAACTCCACAAGAGAACCTCTTTGCAACTGCTCAGTCTCACATTGACTGCTGACCCGAGATGGAACAAATACATTGAGTCAATAACTTCATCCACTGCAAGGAAAGTTGGCTCCTTGTGCCGCACCAGGAAATTTTTCTTGCCGGAGTCGATCATTCAAATCTACAAATCAACCATTCGCCCTTGCATGGAGTATTGCTGCCATATATGGTCTGGAGCCCCTTCTGTTTGTCTCAAGGTTCTTGATAAGATCCCGAGACGGATATGCAATGTAATTGGCCCTGATCTGGCATCTCGTCTGCAGTCGCTCTCTCACAGACGTGGTGTCGCCTCCCTCTGTCTTTTTTACAAATACTTACACGGTAACTGCTCTGATGAGCTGCTTTTGTTGGTTCCCAGACTTCATGAATTTAAGCGTTCAACTAGGCTGGCATCTCACTCTCACTCTTTCACTGTCAAAAATGTTAAATGTAGCCAGCTCTTCTACTTCAATAGCCTCATGTCTCACACTTCTCACCTGTGGAACTCTCTCCCCTTTTCCTGATAGCTATAATCTCCAACTATTCAAATGTAATGTCAATTGACATCTCCAGATGCCTTGATATATCCCCTATCCTTCTCTTCATCTTTTCCTCTATCACTCGTATTTGCTCTCGCTCCAACTCTCTGTAACCCTTTGCGTGCTAGTGGCTTCCCGCCTTGCTTGGGGTGAAACGCTTAAAAAAAAAAAAAAATTTAAATTTATAGACCAACAAGCTGTTTATACCATTACAGAATGTATCCTCGTGTCTGATATAAATTTCTCTCTCTTATCCTTGGGAAGTTGTCTTTCCATGACAGTACAGTTACCAATTTGGCTACATGAACTTTACAGGCATTACTTATACAATCCCTATTTCAATATTCCTTTTTCTGATCACTATGGTGCAACAGACTGTATAGCAATGAGATCCAGGGTTGATTTGTAAAGGAGAAGACTTCTTGATTACGATAAAGACAATGGAAGATGATTCTAGCATGTGGTATCATAGAAAAGTGTTGTAAAAACCCACCTCAGGTTGAACCAAGTATTGTGAGTGAAAATTGGTAATTAAAACTGTTTGGCAGCTATCAATGTTTTTTTGTGCACAAAGTCACAAGTCATCGTGACTGAGGGTATAAGTGTACTGGCCTTGTTCAAAACTGTAACTAAGGTCTGCTCAGCAGAGTTGCAGGCCATTTTAAATTTGCCATTATTCTTATTGCTCTTTTTAGTGCGTAAATGTGTTTGAATTGAGCTCCCTTTATTTTTTTTTAATTTTCTTAAATAGTGATATTAATATCAACCAGCCTAGATCAAGAAGTCAACGAAAAATGTGTTTCCTGATAGTAAGATAACTGAGCTTTGCTTTATCATAATGGCCTCTCATGGCATGCTTCATCTATCCAGAGTTTTCCCTGATAAAAAAGAGGGTTACAGCTTTGATTCCTATTGGGAGGGGCGGTAAATCAAATGTGTACCCAATAACAATAACATAGTAATAACATTGCAGTATAAACAACAAGTTGACTATTGAGTGTTGAAGAAAGACAAATGTACCTGAGGAGGAATCTGCAACAAGGATTAACTAGCTAAACTTCCCCCACCCCCTGTAATAGGCATGTATACTCAGAAATGTACAGTTAAATATTTACTTTATTAGATATAATCTTCTATGGGACATGTCTCTTCAGGATGTGGGCGATCATGGCACTCCACAATTTCCTGTCCTTTGTAGCTTTTGGCAAATTTTGTCGTCTTTTCACTATGTCTTCTAATCATCTTTCCATTGATCATTTACACAAGCTCGTCAGATTAGTTCATTTGCCGCTTTCTTCTGTCCTTGTCTTTAATCCACCCCGTGAGTGACAAATTTTCTCAGTTCACTTCAACTCTTTTTCTGATCCAAAGTATAAGTATCCTTTTTCTCTAAAATTTCATTACTCATCTGTTCAGTCCATGTCATCCTCAGTATCATTCTGTAGAGCCATATTTCTGTTGCTTCAAGTCTCTTTTTCATCCATAAGATGTCCAGCATTCACTGATTACTATTGACAATATTATTAGATGGATTGATTGATTTGTTTAACAGCATATCAACACCTTATGGGTCATTTAATGCCAAAATTTAATTTTGGGGGGAGCTTTGAAGTAATAAAAATATATTATTCTGCTTTCACAATTGAATACATGGTAGATAATACTCAGCTTTTAAGCATATACATGTTTGTGCAAACATGCTTAGTGGAGTGTGTTTTATGTTGAAGTTATATTTTGGAATAAAGTTTGATTTCTTTAAGATATTGTAGGATATTATATGGATTGATGTCATGAAAGAGTTCTTTCATGTTGCTTGTTTGATTTTGTTTGGTGGTATATCAACACCTCTATGGGTCATTTAATACCAAAATCTAAATATTTTGTACATAATTTTATACTTTTAGAGTAAAGGTAGGATTTTAGATATATATTTTGTAGATCAAAAAATATATTGTTATTTTATTATTTTTTTATAAGATGTATTATTATATTTTTTTAATGTTGCATTGATTGTCATTTTGGTATACAAATATATTGTTGGTTATTTTATATAACAAAATGTACTGTTGATTTTGGGTGGAGATTTCATTATTTGCCCTTAGCTGGAAAATTAAAAGGTCTACCACCCAGGGTCAGGGTGGACCTGGGAACAAGAGGTTGTTCTGCTGTTCTCAAAACCTCCTACCTCCTGATTAAAGGCGTTGCTGTCGGATGTAGTTTATCAGGACAGGAATTATCAGATGTAATAATGTTTTCATTTCTTAACTGAAGCATGAAATCATTTGATGCAATTCCTATTTCTGGAGTCGTTTATCTGATAAACACTCCATCGCAATTAGATTTCTTTTCGGATTCATTCTGCATGCTGGTAAGATGTGAATGCCACAAAGACGGGAGAACAAAATAACAAAAGTCATTGTCTGTGCATTAGGCTCCATGCATCACACCTGGTCTACAAAGGAAGCTTCGGCAGTGGCCAATCATGAATGTCTCCCACCAGAGAGAAAGAGAGAGAGAGAGAGAGAGATGCTCTTGGGGACTATCAGACCCACTTGAAAGCAGGTCTCTGAGAACAACACCAGTCAGTTGTGGCCTGGTGGAACACTGGCCATCACGCAGGGTGTTGCTGCTGCTGCCACCATGACCTTTGCCACCACTACTCATCATGAACACCCCTCTCAATGTCTATTACCACTCCCAGGCTTGATTAACCACCTTGGATATCCAGTTCTGACTCAAAAACATCTCAACCTCGACTCCACTGAGCTACAAGTCTTCATCATCAATGATACTGTCACCTCAGCAAAAACTGATTTGATAACATCTCAACATCAACACCATCACCTTGGCAAATCCAACTCCACGAAAAAAGCGACTGACTCTGCAAGCAAGGAACTCTGACTCCGCAAGGATGCAACTCACCAACGTGACGTTAATCTGATATCACTCTGGTTCAACACAACTGGTCTACCAACCAACAAAATGACCTACCACTGTGACCTTGATAAACCAATGTGTATTGACTGTATCCTGTGACTGCATACCAAACCCGCACAAGAATTAGGTTGACTCCTGGCACTACCCTTACACCAGATCACTATCCTGATGATCACTCACTGAAACTGACATTTCACCTAGCTTTGGACATATATGTATGATATACTACCTTCCACCATGACCTTGATCAACTAATACACATTGGCCATATCCTTTGACCTCAGCCAGACCAGCACAGGAAATAGGTTGACTCCCAGTGCTACCCTTACACTTGACCACCATCCCGACAATCAACTGTAGCCCCTGAAATGGACATTCTAATAATCCCTCAACATCTCTGTATAACATGCCAACAATAAACATTATTCAAATCCAATCTTCGTTATTCCTTTCTCTCGCTACCAAATATTTAATAAAACATGACTTTCAACCCCTCTAATCCTTTTCCTGCAACCATTAAATAGAAAAAGGATCAAGAGAAAAAACTCAGAATCCAGAAATGGATTTTCTCATGCAAAGCAAAAACAAGTAAAAAAAAACACAAACAATTTCAATGAAAGTTTTCTTACCTCCCCTCGGAAGACAACGGCCAAAATTGACGCGACAATCATGAAGATGAAAATCAAAGACAAAATCACAAAATACTGAAAAAAATTAAAAAATAATTTAAAATTTAAAATTCAGTAATTTTTGTTTTTTCTAAAAGAAAATATTTAAAAAGAGAATTATTTGAAATTTGAGAGACAAGAATTTTTTTATACTTGGCTTTCAAAATATCAAACATCTTAGAAGCATGGGCTAGAAAAGTTAATAGGTTGATTATAAAGGAGTGAAGCAAGAGCTATAAAATCTTGCATGCATTAATTACAACTTTTCATATTAATAACTGTATTGTTTCTTTTCAGATGAACTGACATCTGACTGTTCAAGGAAAACTATTCATCCCATTGGTTAAAAAGTTAGCAACAGCAAATATGAAATCATCACTGCAATATAAATTTGCAGCTAAGTGTAACTGATTAGGAATTTGTTGATCACCTTCTCTATTCTTCTGATTTGACCATCATCAGTTCTCTAACATGAAAAAACACAGACATTATTCACACATGAATAGGTGAGGACTCAAAGTTTCTTAAACTTTTTATCTTGGCAATCACCCTGAGCAGATGGAGTCATTGCTGTGTTTTGGGAATTTTTGTTTATATAATAGTGACTTAGTAGGAAGAAAGACAGTTGAAAGGTTTCCTGTTGCCTTCTTCAGTGTTAAATTCATATTTGTCCTTCTCCTAAACTGGTTGCTAACCAAGGCTAAAGAGCCAAATCCACCGTACTATTTCACAAATTACTTGGGAGGGTAAGTAAAAAAAAAAAAAAAAAAAATGGATTAATATTGTTCCTAAAATATTAATGGAAACTGAATATGACATCTATGGATGGGATTGGAACTGCTTGCTTGTTTCTGCTACAATAATTTGCACCTTCTGCAAATGGGTTTGATTGGTTGTGAAATGCAATTGGTTAGCTTCAGGCATTGCATACAACTATTGTTGTTAAAAGTTCTTTTAATATTCATTTGCAGAAAGATTGTGTTGACAAGGCTTCATTTCAGCCAAGTGACTGCTCAAGAGTGACTCCAGCCGTATCTTTTAAATTTTGGAAATAAATTGCAAGTTCAAATCCTGGTCCAGACTAAGAAACAGGATGGGCATTAACTGAACAATACCAAAAATTAACAAGATGAGATATTTCTTTGATGTGGACAGAAGAATTAGAAAAATATACCCATATAAATTAAATAAAGGGTTCAGTTTTAAATTCTTACAATTGGAATAAGACAGCTGAAGAAGGACAGTTCACAGCAGCCGAAATGTTGCAATGATGATAACAAAGATGACGTCATTAGTCCAAATGTAAATAACTCAGAAACAATGTTTGATTTCTTCAAAAATTTTTTCTTACATTTAATAAACAATAGATTTTTTTTTGTATTTTCAAATTAACAATTCTCAGTTTTCACTTTCTATATTATAAATATGAAAAGACATTGTACAAAAATTGCTGGCATGAATAATTTTTAAATGTGCAAATGTGATCAGACATCACTAGATTAGATAAAATTTCTGAGGAGAAGGCACTTACCAGCAGAATGCCATATCGCATCTCCTTCCAAGTGGTGACGCAACCAAAAACGGCAACAACAAGAATTATGAATCCTGAAATGATTAACATGTAAGAAGCAGCTGCATAAAGATTTGAACCAATGATGTCTGAGAGAAAAATTTTATCAGACGTGGTCCAGACCCCAATGCTAAAGACAACAAGTCCAATAATCTGAAAAAGAAAACAAAAAAGGCAAAAATAAATTATTTATTGCAGAACATAAACCTGGCATTGTGACATTAAATATTTGTGTCGACCCAAAATTCAAACAACCATATTTGATAGCATTTAAGGTATCTGTCTCATTTAATATTTTTGTTATACCAATGTTTGCCCCAGTACAAGGCTTGAGAGCTACTAAAGTTACCATTAAAATGATTGTGGCATGATAAGTGAAAAAAGAGGTGGTAGGAAGTGAAGATTATGAATAAGATAATGGCTGACCCTTGATTTGAGGAGGTTAAGATTATAGTCTTCAGAGAAGCACTCATGTGGGAGTCTTTTCCACAAAGTGGCAGTTCTTGGAGAAAAAGCCATTTGAATGGAACTTTCTTCTAACATTTTGAATAAACAGAAAATGGGGATGATTTGACTCTGTGGAAGTGGCAGGTCATGTCATAGCTGTAGAAGTCAAAACTTTGATCTCTATCAATTCTGAAAAACAGAAGATTGTGTAGCCCCAAACCAAATATGACAACAATACTCCATTTTTTTTTGGCTAACTCTTGTAAAAATAAAGTATGGCAGAAGAAGTCGTTCAGGTAATCCCTGATTCCTGAGTAAGTATTAGCCTCCCAGTTACCTCAACTTGGCATATAAAATCGCCAAGAGATGTTTTTAGCTATACTTTGAAAAAACAAATTGTGTTCATTGGGATTGTCCTCAAACATTATTTTCTTTGCCGGAAGCTGAATTTAAATAAAAGCTTCAAGTTATTTAATTACTGTTGAACCATCAAATGAATACCTGAAAAATTCATTTAAATTTTCTCATGGCCTGCCTCCTTTTGTTAATTAAAGATATTTCATTCTTCCAATTGTCAATAGTTTTGAAACAAGTCGACACAATCAGATCTTCAAATATAAACCCTATTTCATTCAACAGCAAGTGATCATTTCTTTTCCTTTGTGAAAGCAGATTTTTCTGTCTGTTAATTTATTCTTACTATTTATAGAAGTTAAGAACACCTAAAGAAGATAATGAAGGAAAGAAAGAAGAAAGGACTAATCATCAATTGTAAGAAGATAGAATGCATGGTTGTCAGCAAAAAGAACAGACCAACATGCAAATTACAAATTGGAGATGCTAAAATCAAGCAAGGACAATAATTTAAATATTTGGAAAGTGTTTTAACAGGGGATGAAAAGTGAAATGCCGAAATTTGAAGGCACATTGAGATAGAAAAAGTGGCTTTCCAAAAGCTAAGCAAAGTATTAAGAAACTGGAAAATTGCATTGGAAACAAAGAAAAGAATGCTGAACTAGGATGTAATATCAGTCCCCCCTCCATTATATAGCAATAAATGCTGGACAATCTCCTTACAGATGAAGAAGAAACTTGAAGCAACAGAAATGTGGTTCTACAGAAGGATACTGAAGATACCATGGACTTAATATGTGAGCAATGACAAAGTTTTAGAAAAAATGTAAATAAAAAAGACATTTAACCTTAGCATCAGAAAGTTCTAAGGCATGTAATGAAGAAAGAGGGCTTGGAAAATTTGACACTGACAAGACATATTGGAGGCAAAAGGAACAGAGGAAAACAATGCATAACCTACATGGCGAGCTTGAGAAAATGGTTTTAGGAGTGATAGTGAAAAGACAAAATTTATTAAGAGCTACAAAAGGACAGGAAATTGTGGAGAGTCATGATCGCCAGCATTCTGAAATCAGATGGCACATAGAAGAATGAGCTTGTGTAAATGAATGGCAGAACAAGGTTTAGGTGAGGCAACAAAAGGACAAAATTTATTAAGAGCTACAAAGGACAGGAAATTGTGGAGAGCCATGACAGCACATAGAAGCTGATTGTGAGATTTTATCTATCAGCTTGCAACTTTTTTTTTGTGAATAAAGATTTGAGATTTGATTCAAGAGGGTCATTCATTTGATAAGGAAGAGTCATCCAAATCTGTTTCAGGTACTCTGCAAAAAGCCAATACCAAATACATATTTACCCAGTCATGAAAATGCGTGTCACCAAGTGTCATTTGTAAATTGTTATAAACTAATGCTAATGAGCACTGGTAAAAATAGTTGAAGACATTAGGTTTATAATACCCAGAAATTCATACCCAGATGTCCTCAAAGGACAGATAAGGACAAAGGATGGATAAAGGCGTTGGTTAGATCCAGTGACAGGACCCAAAGAGTGTGAGTTCAATACCCAGTTAAGGCAGTGGAGAACTTTCAGAGGGAAATTAACAGGATCTAACTGATAGCTGACATCCATCAAAACATGGCACATGGAACTAGAACAGTCTACCCCGGTGAGCGAAATAAAGGGCTCAATTCGACATTCCAACCACCTGAAGAAGACTGGAGCTTACAACGGCCGAAACCTTGTAATAAATATGACAACAAAGATAAATAATGTAATGCTTCTTTATTGTAGTGTCTAAACAGGCCACACCTTTTTCCATTAGGTGTCCTTTTGTATAATATTCAATCTAGTATATAAAGCTTTGAGAATTGATTAATAAAACAAAATAACGAACAATCACTTTAATGTAATTTAAATGTAACTGTACCAACAAGATCTCCTTTGTATCTTGTTGGTACAGTTGATTTGGGGTGGGAGACATGTAGTATCGGCAGTGCATGATCCACATATACCATCATTAGTCTGGGATAAGAACAACTCAGAATTCAAATGCTATCTTGTAGGTCTTGTCTCTAAGTTCTGAGAGAAGTGATGGGGATAACCTCAACATTCCTGGTGAAAATGGAATGTGCAAAGCCATTGCATTATTCTGCTTTGAATGTCACCATGAATCACAATTGTGAAATCAAGGGGAGCGGTGACCACAGAGGTGGGGCTAAATGAACGAATAAATGAAATGAATGATGAAACAACAAAAAACAAATATTATAATGTTTTTCCATTCTTCCAAGAAAGTAAAAAAGAAAAAAAAAAGAAAAAAAAAAGAGAAAAAAAAGAAAAAAAAAAAGAAGAAAAAAAGAAGCTTCCTTCTGACGAGGACATACACTATTTTATTGGCATTCTGGACATTTTCAATTTTCACTTGAGATTAATGGTTGATGGCTGTCAAGCTTCTATTGTTGCTTATGGTGTGACTTACATAGAGAAGAAAAAAAGTTATTTTTCTTCAGTTTTTGTTTTTAAACACATGATTAATGTTAGAAAACAGTGCTATATATATCATCTTTATTTCAGACAAGACATTTCAGCCAGTGAGATTACCAACCTTCCTCAGGTAACATCTATTTCAAAGATTACCAAATTGTTGACAAATTAAAATGTAATGAAAAGAAACTTAGTGGTAATTTTAAATCTGCACAAGACATTTTGAAATGTTTTAGGGTGTGAGCTGGATGCTGTGTGGTTGAAATATTCGTTTGGTAAGGGAAAAATAAAATTTTTGTTTTTTTTTAAATGCACACTGATAATTCAACGATGATGATCAAAATCAACGTTTTTTTGTTTTTTTTTAATGAAGTTAAAACTAAACTCTCCTAATGCCATCTAGCAACATGTAGAACAAATATTTTAACAAACTCTACAAATTTCCAACCATCATTTGGTGAAACTGATGCAACACATTCTTCCTACCCAATTCTAGCTTTGAGCTCAGCATCAATACTGCTTCAAATTATGTTTTGATCTTTTAAATTCACTAGAAATATTCTTCCCCTCTAAGAGATTTGAATTTTTTTTAAATTTTTAGATTTGTATCAGGAGTTTTTTTTTTTTCTTTTTTTTTTTTTTTTAAGAATTCATTCATGATCTGGGGTTTAATAAATCCTTGAAGATGGAATCAAACTATCTTTAATCATTATTGATAATAAATATCATGGCACTTATTCTACTGGCATTTTATTTTGACTCTACTTAACCAATTCAGAATTTGGAAATATTTTTTGAACGTAAAGTTATTTTCTCAGGAGAAGAAAATTAAAAAAACAAAAAACAAAATAAAAATTTAAACTTGAACCAAACATGATTACAATCCTTTCACTGCTGCTCTTCAAAAAGAAACCATCTTTAGGCTTATATTCAGTCCAACTTTCAGAAGTGTTCTAACTCATGACCCATATTTCAAACAAATACTTTTTCCTTTATTACAAATTGAAAAATCCAGATGTTACAAAAACAAACAAAAAACAATGAATAAAATAGAAAGTGGGGCAAGAGTGGAAAATGTAGAAAGAGAGAAAGGAGCAGGGGGAGCTGGACTTGAGGCCAAGAGCAAGAGATAGGGGGGGGGACTGGGACGTGAGACTGAGAGAGGTGGGGGGAGCCAGGATGTAAGGCAAAGAGAGAGAGAGAGTGTGAAGAGCCAGGACTTGTGACCAAGAGAGAGGGAGGTAGTTAGGACATGAGAGAGAGGAGGGAGAGCAGGGATACAGGTCTGAGAAAGATGACCCTGGACCCTGTGCCAGAATAAGCTTTGCTTTTGTAAAGTGATGATTAGTCTCTCTATTGTGATTTTTGCTGAGTGCTCCAATATTAAGATCTTGAGCCAGCCAAAGTGCAATCGTGCGATTGTGAAACAAATGAAATACTTACAAAGAAAAGTGTATTGACAATGAAGAGAAAAATCTTGATCCCTTTTTTGCCCATTATTGGTTTTTTCTTTGGAACTGTAAAACTGAAATCAGAGGAAATGGAATATAAGTTATAAATTACAGAAGTTATTATTAATAAAAAATAAAAAAAAATAAAACCCAATATTATATAAATTCTTTTTTAGTGCAGTCTTTCTCCTATTAAACATGGTGTCAGTGTGGACCATTTCAAAATTTCAGCTTTCTACAAGACATCAGAATGTAGCCAACAGAATCTTGTTTACAACACAGACAGCACATGGTTCTCCATAATGACAGAGATGGTAAAAATATATGAACAAAAACAGATCAAACATTAACTTTGGATAGTTTATTCACAATTTCAATCCTGATATAAATATCTTTTTTTGCTAGTAATATTATATGTAATATGTATTGCTGGTAATATATATTTTCTTTAATAATGTATTAAAATTTTCATCAAAATATTTATTGTTGGTATTAAAACCTATTTTTACATTTTCATAGTACTTTGACCCCAATTTGGGGATTAACCATTTGCCCATAGCTGGGACCCTAACAGGTGCTACCACTCCTGGTCAGGGTGAACCTGGAAACACTAGCAATTAAAGAGGTGGTTCCATGCTCCTCATAACCTCCTGATCAGAGGACTTACTGTTGGATGTAGTTTATTGTCATACCCAGGATGGTTGGAAATTGGAAAACTATGATAAAAAAATTAAAAACAGTTATTGATTTTAATAATAAAAAAAAAAACTTGTTTGGGGACACACACAAATAACATTTGTTGATTATTTACTCATCAGCTGATAGTTGCATGTGGTGCAGTTTTGAAAATGGATTTTTACAGTGCTTTGCAATGTTTTTCAAAAGGAATGCATCAGCACACAGTTCAAAATAATTTCATTCATTTTGTTTTTTAATACATTCATTTCTGTCTAAATTTCTGGGATGAGGCACTATCATTATTTACCCTATTTACATTCAGACTATTATCTGCCTTGTCGAGTTGCCTCCTCCTAATTTTCAAAACCACTACTGGGGGAAGCTTTCTGGCACTCGGTGATATCTTTTCTCGACCCCTTTTTCTTACTTTTTACGCTTACTCATCAATATGTAAATTTCTGGCAGAAGAACGCATTCCCTTTTTGGGACATGCATGAATACACACACACACACATATGTATGTACAAATCTTTCACTTCAATTTTTCTAGGACATTTCCTTCATCAAACTAAATATGCAAACAATTCACTAGCTTAAATGTTTTACCCAGTCATAATCATTGTTCAGTAACAAACAACAATATTCTTTTGTATATGTAACTCTTTATTATGATGTGAAAGGATTTGTTTGATTATTAATTATATTGCTCTGTATAAAGAAAATACATCAAGCTCTTTTTTGTGGATCAGTTCTAATATTTTCATATTACTAGGATCTTATTTGAATTATATACCAATGGATTATATATATATATATATATATATATATATATATATATATATTATATATATATACCCCAATTCCAAAAAATGGAAATTCCCAGAAAATCACAAGGTGACCAGTTCCTGGCTCTATCATCTGTCATCAGGCCATAAAACCCTTGCACAAACACTATCAATGCTTATTAATAATCTCAATGAAGTCCCAGAATTGATCACTGAATGTATTACATATCTCATACTGAAAACAAGTGAAACAGATGATCGGAAAAATTATAGGCCAATAACATGTCTGTCCACCACGTATAAATTGATCACGTCTATCCTGACGAACCGTACTTACTTTTTTCTTGAAGCAAACAACATTCTTCCACTGGAACAGAAGGGATGCTGGAGATGTTCATATGGTTGCAAAGATTGACGACTGATAAACAAAATGATCCTGGAACATTGTGGGAAAGATGTAGAAATCTTAGCACAGCGTGGATTGATTACAGTAAAGTTTTTGATAGTGTGTCACACTCTTGGATACTTTAAACTTTGGAAATGTACAACGTCTCCCTCCTGATAGTAAATTTCCTTAGAGACAGCATAGGAATGTAGAAAACCATATTATACCTAAATACCATCAGAGGTACTGCCATCTCCAACTGCCTGAATATCCGACAAGGAATCTTTCAAGAAGACTCCCTGTGACCCCTTCTGATTTGTTTGTCCTTAATTCCCCCTTATGCATGAAGTAAACAATAATAGTTATGGATACAAACTAAACAAGAAAGGATTCAATCACCTAATCTACATAGATGATCTCAATAATACTAGCAATAAATTTTCATTGCAAAAAATTATCAACAATACATTTTTTATAAAAAAAAAAAAATTTTGTCTCTGAATACAAGTTGGTATAGATGGAATAAAATTCTGATAACCAAAACCACTATTTTTAAAAACATACTTATGCTATAATATTATATACATATATATATATATATATATATATATATATATAAAACAGCAATATGTGCCATTCTGGGTAAGACGTTAAACTACATCTGATTCCTGGGTAAGACGTTAAACTACATCTGCATCCTGGGTAAGACAATAAACTATGTCCAGCAGCAAGACCTCTGATTAGGAGGTTTTGAGAAGCGTGGAACCACCTCTTAATTGTTGGTGTTCTCAGGTCCACCCCAACCCAGGGTGGTAGCACCTGGTAGGGTCCCAGCTATGGGAAAATAATTAACTATTACCAGCAACACTTTTTGAAAAAATTTATTACCAGCAATACAATTTTGAAGGAAAAATATTACCAGAAACAGATTTTTGACAAAACAAAATATTACCAGCAATAAAAAATTTTGTCTGCATTAAATAACCCATGAAGGTTGATATGCTGTAAAACAAAATAAACGAAACCAAACCAGCAATATGTGACCCATAAGGAGATGATATGTCACTAAACAAACCTACATCTTATTGAATATGTAATCAAATTCAGAATGATTAATATGAAGAAAAATAAGAAAGGGTTTTAATACCTTTGCATACTAGGAACTGTTGAAAAGTTGTCAACCCCAACCATTTCCAAAAAATAAACATTTCAATGACCTTGTATTAGCATAATGATTTTGGGAAGTTGGTCTGGCTAAGAATTTTTCATTACTGTTCATTTGTAGGTTTACGTATAATCTCACTAAGATACTTTTGACTCAACATTGGAAATTAATCTGAAGAGAAAGATTTTGCATACTGGAATTGTTCACATTGAAGTGATTTATTATCTTTGAAATATGTAAGCGTCATAAAACCTTCCATAATTAAACAATTTTGTCCTAACAAGATTTAGATTAAGATAGGATGATGTAACGATAATATAAAAACAAAAATTAAATGTAAAAATCAAATTTCCTTCATCAATAGAAGAGAAAGTTTTTTTTTCATTTTGTTCAGTTAGGCAGAACAGTTTTTAGAGAAAACAAATACTTTATTTTATTCAATGAAAAGGAAAAACATTACATCGTTAATTTTATTTCTCAATTTCATAAAATTAAATTTATTATGTTTAAGACATATACATACTAGTTGTCAGTTGGTGTGGACATCAATAAACACTTTTATATCTACATATACTCTATGAACACTTTTCTTATATTCCATGGTCATAATTTATTACACTGGAATTGTAATTACAATCCAAATTTGAATTTGTAGGTCTGATGAATTGGATCATGATTCCAATATAATAAATTATAACTATGGAATATTAGTGTTTGAGCCTTTTATATTATATTCTTGCTCAGTCCTGGACATTGAGTTCTGCCTGGATTCTATCCTCTTGGAAATGTGTGTGTATGTATGTATATATATATATATATATATATATATAGTTGGATTGATGTCACATCAATCCAACCAAATATGTTAGCTCTATCTCCGATATTGAGCACTTTCTAATAAGTACCATGCATATATATATATATATATTTCCAGCTATGGGTAAAATAGCAGGACAGCCTGGGTTCTATAACCTTGGATGGCAACTGGTCTAGGAAAAAGACAACTCTGAATTCAAAACCTGAGGGGGGTTGTTTGGGGACCTTGTGGCACGTAGTACACCAGGTCTCCTATATTCGGCCCTTTAAAAAGTTTGGATGGTCCTGCACGAAACCTTCACCACTATAATTGAATCTCATGTGCCGGTGTCGGGTTGTTGGTTTCCTGGAAACTGATCTGCTTGACCCTCATACGTTGAATCTCAACGGGAGAGTCAACTATATATATATATATATATATATATATATGTATATATATATATATATATATATAATATTTAAAAACATGATTCCATCACGACACAGAAAATTTCCATGTTTCAAAACTGAAACTAAATTTATAAATTTAATTATAAAAATTAAACTTAAAATCCATAGTCTTGTTCCATTGTCAAGTGATGCTAGGAATAAATTTTCAAAGAAATTTACTCAATTTATAAGTGCAGACAATATTAATATTAGGAATTTTTAAGGTCAAGGAAAATTCAATCTATTTTAATTTAGGGGTGTTGGGTTTCAATTTCCCTAGACAGCTTATGTATCAAGTATATATTACAGGTCAAGTTAAGTTTAGGTGGTATGGGGGTGCCTGCTCACAAACATAGACATCTGTTATTCTGTTAAATACCACAAGGCAAATCTCCTAAACGACACTCAATACAGATTACTCAACTAAAATTAATATCAATGAAATCAGCAAAAACATTCTTGAAAGTGTGTACAAATATGCAAAAAAATGCAAAAACCAGTGGCATAAGACAACAGAAACTATAGAATGGTTTACTAATATAAAAAGAAAAAATTAATGTACATTCATCCAATTCAATATTTGTGACTTTTACCTGTCCATCACCGACAATCTACTAATGACTGCTGTAAGTCTAGCAAAAAATTACTGTCCTATTAGTGATCATGAAATAAATATCAAAGCAGGCACAAAAACCTATACAATTTCATAATGGCTACCTGTGGACCAAAAGAAGTAACACAGAATTTAATATTGCAATGGGAGCATTTGATTCAGCAAAGGCATGCAAATTAGTTGGAATATTATTATTATTGTGG